CCACATCCCTGTGACCGTCCGCTATACTGTCAGCACAAATGCGGCCTATCGTGTTCTCAGGATCACCACTGCAACTCCTCGTGCAAGGAGGCCTGCCGACAGCAATGCGTGCATCACAAGTGCCCGAAGCCTTGCTCAGAGCCTTGTGCGCCGTGCATGGAGCCGTGTCCGTGGACATGCGCCCACCATTCGTGTCCTGTTGTCTGCGGCTCGGTGAGTTGAATCGGGCAAGACCGGGATGCATTTGCTGAATGCGTTGGCCGGTAGATCTGTGCGCGTCTACCCTGCGACGAGCCGTGTACGAACACGCTCCCATGTGGACATCCTTGTCCGTCGGGTGAGTATCGTCATTATTACGACGAGATGTTCGGATGTCTTATCAATGCTACGCAGTCTGCGGCGAGCCGTGCTCTCAACAAAGATGTGTTACCTGTCTTCCCAAAAGCCGCAAGCAGGATATCGTGGACTTTATCATGCAGCGTCAGTTGAAGGAAGTCGACCTGGAATCGAGCGATATCAGCGAGCGATTGATCAGGCTGGGATGCGGACATATGTTCACTGTGGAGACGCTGGATGGACACTGCAAGATGTCTGAATACTACGAGATGGACGACATGGGCCAGTTTGTGGCGACGAAGGCGCCGCCAATCAGCTACCAGACCCCTCCGACATGTCCGACATGCCGCGGGCCTATCGATGCACTACGATACGGGCGTGTCACGAAACGTGCGACGCTCGATATCCTGGAACAGAACGTCGCCAGCCGTATGTCCAAAGCGTTGGACGAGGCCTCCGGAAACTTGGAGCAACTGTCATCGCGTCTTGAGGGCATGCGGAATGCTGCGAAGAAATTGCGAGCGTCCAAGTTTGCTCATAGTAGCCCGCTCTCAGCCCGTACAGCCGCTGGTAAGCCGGGCGAACCGCTCGACCCCAGCCTCCTCACCTCTGCTGCAATGCATAACACGCATGGGTTCTTCCAGTCTGAAGCAGACGCGTGGTTGGATATAGTCGGTGATATTGTCCGCGTGTATGAAAACATTGTAGGCGTGGCGAACATCCGAGGAGCTCACGTCAGAGCGTACGACGCGGCCCTCGCTACGCTCTACCGCCTAGAGATGGATGCTATTGCGCAAGATCCTGAGCGCACATCGCTCGGTGCTCCCGAGCCCCTGGCGATGGAGACAGCAAGGGAAAGGATCGGCCAGCCGCCGTACCAGGCGGACAAACGCTTCCAGGTCGAGGCATACATCCTTTCTCTCGAGGCTCGCTTCATGCTCGCACAGGTGGCGGAGAGCCGGGTGCAGGGTCTCCCACTGATAAATACCACGTCGCTCGCGGGGCAGTACAGACAACAGTGGTTCTCCTTCCTCGAGTTCATTCTGGAGTCCTGTGTCGCTGATGCGCGCAAAGCACTGAGCATTGCCCAGGAGTCTTCAGCGTCCCGCCAGGCCGCTCGATGCGCCATCTGCGTTTTGCGCTCGGAATTCGAGTTGCACCGTACTAGGATACTAGCACAACGAGCCGAGTTGATGAGGCGCGGCGAGTACAGCGAGGTCACACGTGCCACCCTAGCAGACGAAGTAAGAAGAATGAGCTCTCATATGCAGGCGGAACTGGACTCGGAGAGCCGGGAGTATATGGGCAAACGTCGTTCGCACAACGTTGAGGAGATGAGATGGTTCGAGGACAACTGCGCGCGAAAGGTCAAGCGCTGGCAGGAGGAATGTGACGAGCTCGCGAAGTATCTGGTGGGCGACACCTCGTACGAGCCGTTGTCGCTGCAAGAGAAAGAAGATATCGTGAAGGCATTTAATTTCTGTGAGTTTTTCGACCCCGCTCTCGACGGCATCTGTTGAAGCCAGAGGATACGTACGTCTCTAGCCCACAGAGGTCATTTTTACAACTGCGAGAACGGACACACATTCGTGATCGGAGAGGTAAGTGTCCCAGCCCTCGTTAGATCCCTCAGCCTGCTAAATATAGACCATCGCAGTGTGGCGGAGCCACGCAGTCTGCAAGGTGTCCGGAGTGCAACGCCCCTATCGGCGGAACCAATCATCAAGTGCACAACGCAAACACCAGAGCGCGAGATTTCGAGCAGATCGCAGGGGAGCAGGGCGCAATGCCGGGGGCGTTTGCTTGGACAAGAGATGCGTAAGAGATTAGTTTTGAGATATTGAATACGTCGAGCGATGTATACATCCTGATCCGACGTGCATTGCATGACGTGTCACACCTGCAAATAGTGCGTTCTATTGATGTAGATTCTACCCGTCAAAGCGTCTATCTGGTGGTGCTCCGACCAAGCCCTCGACCTACTGCTATGTTATGCACTGCTGATTCTGTATAAGATCGTGAAAGTCCCATGTTAATAATGTATCCGAGGCAATTGTACATTGTCACGAATGGGTGCGGAGACAAGTCAACGTAGCTTGACCTCGCACCCTTGGGTTCGACAATAGCAACCTATGGCTGCTGCCTCCTACTGCCGCCCACCTTCAGGAGATCTTGTTGTCTCCATTGCATCACCGCACATTGACCGCTGCTATATGGCAACAACGAACCTCTCCGATGACGAACGTGTGTCCATTCTCGCAATTATAGAAGTGACCCCGAGTCGCTGCAACAGAACCTCAGCACTTGAGAACAAGATGAGAATGGACAGGTAGCCCACCGAAATCTAGAGCCTTCACGATGTCCTGCCGTTCTTGCAGAGTGACAGGCTGGTAGAACGTGCCGACCCGTGTGACGATCTTCTCGAGCTCATCACAATCCTCCCTCCAACGGACGACCTTCCGCATACAGTTATTTTCAAACCATTCCATCTCTGCCAGCAGCTCCTCCTGTGTGTTCTAGGAGCGGTTGCGGATGTGTTCCTCCGCCACTCTCTCCAACACAGAAGACCGCGTTGCACTAAACGGACAGAGTGAACAGCAAGCGCCAACAAAGTAGGGCGTACGAGAACACCGTACGGTCACAATCATGTCAAGATACGTCTGCAATAGGCAAGTGTGAGCGAGGTGAGACAATACGGTCATGTAAAAGGGAACGACCAACGCACCCAAGACTTGTTGCGGTCATTGACACTCGCCACAATGCGCACGAATCCTTGCACCTTCGACGCGTTCTCAAAGTGGTGATTGTCTGCCAGGAAGGACTTGATATAGTTATGAGCTCCGCTCGGGGTTAGTGTCTCTTCTCCCGGACGGAGCCGTTCACAGCAAGCCTATCCATCGGGAAGAAGTCCGGGGCGACCTTGTCTTCCTCTAAGCAGGATGTACATGGATGGGCATGCGTTGAGGATGCTTCAACGAGTGTCCAAGGAGGGCGCCTCATCATGACCGACGTGTCAGCAATGTTGCCTAGTAGTTATCAGAAACTATGGACACTCACTAGAATGCCCCTGATGTGTAGCACGGATTCGTACGAGCGGATAGTGAGGAAACGGTATTGATGCGCATCTGGATCTGGTATTTGCGCTCCGGATTCGAGGTCGAAGGACGGCTGGCTCTGAGCAACAAGCCTTCAATCTTGTCAGCTGGGTGGCTTGAGAGAATACAGGTCTACGAGATGTGACTTTGACGCAAGAACCGCCCAAGCCTCAAATAGAGTAATTTATAAAGCATTCAAGCGCAGGTGCAAAAACGTGCATACTTGCGTCGTCATCAAAGCCATCCTTTGGCCGCGCGATCATCTTTGAAGTCCGCGCGATCATTTTCAAAGTCCGCGAACCTAGGGCTGTCTTCCTCCGTGAAATCAGAAAGATGGTCTAGCTGAGGACAAGCACACAGCGACACCACAGTCTGATTCGTAAGCGGGTGACAACGGTCTTAGCAACGCGTGAAGAACACGCACTGCTTGCATTTCGCACATTCTGAACTCTACGGAAAAGTCCGAAAACAGTGTACTAACTCATACTCGGACAGAAGTACTGAACACTCAGCATCAGGTATGTGTGAAGCATAGTATCCAGTCGCTGGCTATTAGACGAGAGAGATAATACGCAGGTTCTTGACAGACAAGCTGCTAATATTCCCCGCACATTCTCATTGACACAACTACAGTCGTACTTCTACCGTGGTCGAGAACCACTACGAGGCTACTAATGAGGTGACCAATAAGCGTATAGGGTTTATGGTAGGAGCAGAAGTCGTGAAAAGATCCTGCGGCGCTCATTCCCCGTGACGATCTCGACGGCGAACTCGTTTTTGGAATATTAAACAGTATGTCAAAGCCGATCCTATGGTGATAGACATCCATCTCACGCAGTCACAGACTCGTCAGCCTCTTGAAACGCAACCATGGTGCGTTTCTGCACTCGGTAACGGCCTTATTGTCTGCTTTGACGAAAGATCCCAGGACATGTGCGCGGCCACCGCTCTTCCAGAACATTCTCATTGTAACGGGCACGTCGAGCGAAGCGCGTAGCGGAAAAGATCCGGACGTCGAACTGTCGAGGGCGAGCGAAGAGACAAGCGAGGATTCGCGAACAAAAGGGGCGCCGATACTGGCGTTGATTCGACGAGACTACACAGCGTACGCACAACAGGTTTATGGACGAGCCGGTAACTACATCGAGACCGTAGGGTACCTGTGCATATGGAGATAGTGATCTAAAACAGGGGGAGAGCGGGAGAGGGATATTACCGTAACAGGAACCAGCGCGGCGCGCGTGCACGCTCGCGATACAAACAGATCGCTATCTACGAATGGCCGTTGGTAAGTAATAGTCCGTTTTGTACTACAATGACCGTGTAGTGGTATTGACCACTACATCATCCCCCTTCTAGGGACGAGCATAGCGAGACCTTTCGCGTTAGGAAGGCTCGGGGTCGTAACGCACGGGCGGGCGCGAGATTCGACCAGACGCAGTCGTAGTCTGCGACGGCGGGACATATGATGTGCGCAGATTCTCGCGCACACGCGGCGGCGAGGACGGGCGCGGAACAGCGGCAGGCACAGCGGGGGCACGACGGGGCACGGAGGGCATGGGCACGGAGGACGCAGAGGCAGCGGGCAGCACGGGTTCGGAGGGCACAGACGACGGGGCAGCGAAGGATGCGGGAGCCTGTGAAGTAGAAACAGAAATGTCAGTAGCTTCAGCAATGGGATAGGTTTTGTCAAGGATGAGACGATGGGGACGAGGAGCGCGAGGGTGACGGCGGTGGAAACGTTCGAGGAGTTCGTTTTGGGATGTGGGTATGTCGGAGAGGGGGACCCAGGAGTTCTCATCATCTGCTAGCGAATGCCAGTGGACGAGGTATTCGTAACGTTGGCCAGTCTTGCGGCAGTCGAGGATCGAGTCGATGGCAGGAGGAGGTGAGTCGGAGGAGTCGAGATCGAAGGGTTGCGGGGAGGAATGGAGATGGAATTCGGAAGGGTCGTGGTAGGGTTCGAGGAGGGAGGTGTGGAAAACGGGATGTAGGCGAGAGAGGTAAGAAGGGAGGCGAAGGAGGTAGGAAGAGGAACCAATGGTACGAATGATGGGGAATGGGCCAAGGCGACGATGGTCGAGCTTGCCGGATGGACGAGTAGTCTTGATATTGCGGCGAAGGAGCCAGACGAGCTGGTCCGGCTTGTACATGGGCGAGGCGAGTACGTGCTGGTTGTAGTAGCGCGCTTGGAGCTGTTGCGCATATGTGAGTTCAGCGCGGAGCTCGGCGTGGATGGTGTCAAGACGCTGTGCAAGGTCTTGAGCAGCGGGTACTGTAGAACGCTCGGTGATCTGGGGTTCGAACGTCGGGTGGTAAGCATAGTTAGCGTAGTATGGTGTCTGCTTTGTTGAGGAGTTCTCGGCGTTGTTGAATGCGAACTCGGCCAGTGGTAGGTAGTCGACCCAGTCATCCTGTTGGTAGGAGACATAGGCACGGAGGTAAGTCTCGAGCGTTTGATTCGTACGCTCTGTGAGGCCATCTGTCTGCGGGTGGTAAGCGGTCGATGTATTGACATCTACTTTAAGAATGGAGGTAAGTTCTTTCCAGAAGTGTGAAATGAAAACCGAACCACGGTCCGAGACAATTGACTCGGGTAGTCCGTGGTAGCGGAAAATGCGATCAAGGAATAGCCATGCAAGACCGGGAGCGTCGAGGGTCTCGTTCGTGGGTATGAAATGGGCGGCACGGGTGAGACGATCGCAGACGACAAGTATTGAGTCGTAGCCGTGCAATGTTGGTAGCTTGACAATGAAGTCCATGGTGATGGACTTCCATGGACGCGACGGGATCTCGAGCGGTTGCAGGAGTCCGTAGGGCTTGTGTCGTGGGTTCTTGATTCGAGCGCATACATCGCACGCTTGAACGTAGCGGCGCACATATGTGTTGATACCCGGCCATGAGTAGTCGCGCTGTACAAACGCAAGTGTGCGTGTTCGACCCGGGTGACCTGCGATCAAAGCATCATGACGGGAATGAAGTATGTCAGCACGTAAGACAGCAGGGACAAAGAGACGGCCTTTGTGAAATACCATGCCATCTTGAGCATGGAAGTCGGAGCTTCCGTGCGCCATGGCTTCGCGCCACTCAATGTCGTCTCGAAACACGGTCTTGAAGCGCTCGAGTAAGACTGAATTATCTAGTGAGATCGTGGTAAGTGCCGGAACCGAAAGCGTCGGAATGTCATTGATTGGTTGCTCCTTCTGCAGAAATAGAAATTGAGTATGTTGGGGTGTCAGAAGGATTTTGCGCTGCGCTTCAAGGACGTCATCCCCCTTCTGGGGCAAGAAGTCGGGGCGCCTAGAGGGAGCGTCCGCAACGTTCTTCACGCCGGGGCCCCAAATGAGCCGGAAATCAAATTCAGAAAGAAACATAGACCACCGCGCTTGGCGGCGATTCAAAACACGAGAAGACATAAAATACTCAAGGTTTTTGTGGTCAGAAATGACCGAGACAGGGTGCGGAGAACCGAGGAGCCAAGCACGCATGTCGCGGAATGAGTCGACAACGGCAAGGAGCTCCTTGTCGTGGACTTCATAATTGATCTCGGCGGGAGAGAACTTGCGTGAGTAGTAGGCAACAGGGTGGAGGCTGCCATCAGCGTCGGGCTGCTGAAGGATGCCGGAGAGCGCAAAGTCGGACGCATCGGTTGAGAGCGTGCAAGGGAGCGTAGGGTTGAAATGTCGGAGGACAGGAAACGAGGTGAACGCACGCTTGAGCTTGTTGAAAGCGTGGTGGCATTGGTCTGTGAACTCGAAGGTAACCTTCTTTTTTGTCAGCTTATTAAGTGGCAGAACAATGTCAGCGTAGTGATCAACAAAACGACGATAGAAGTTTGTGAAGCCCAGGAACGACTGGACATCACGAACCGAGCGTGGCGTAGGCCAGTGCGCAATGGTATCGAGCTTCTTAGGGTTCATCTTGATGCCGTCAGCACCAATTAGATAACCGAGGTACTCGACCTCGGACTTGTCGAACTCGCACTTCTTCGCGTTAGCAAAGAGGCGAGCGTCCTGCAAGCGGTCAAGCACCTGCTTGACATGCTGATCGTGAGCCTCCTGTGAACGGGAGAAGATCAATATGTCATCGAGGTATACAACGCAAAAGACGTCGAGGTAGTCTCGGAGGGTGTCTTGAATGAAGGCCTGAAATGTAGCAGGAGCATTAGTGAGTCCGAAGGGCATAACAAGATACTCAAAGAGGCCTAAAGGCGTTCGAAAAGCGGTCTTCCATTCGTCGCCTTCCTTGACGCGCACGAGATTGAACGCATTCTTCAGGTCAATGACCGTGAAGAGCATACAACCTTGAACACGATCAAGGAGATCGTCAATTAGCGGGAGCGGATACCTATTTTTCTTGGTGATAGCATTGAGCCCACGGTAGTCGACACAGAGACGGAGCTCTCCGGTCTTCTTTCGGACAAAGAGAATGGGCGAAGCTGCTGGGGAGGTAGAGCGTCGGATGAAGCCTTTCTTGAGGTTCGTCTCAATGTATTCTGCAAGAGCAGTGCGTTCGTCTTGTGACAGACGATACACGGGACCAAACGGCGGAGACTTGCCATCTTCGATCTCGATCTCGATGTCGTAAGGGCGATGTGGGGGTAGGGCATCGACAGCGACAGGAGAGAAGACGGTGGAGGCCCAAGGCATGTACTTGGGAGGAAGGAATGAGGAGTCGTCATCGTCAGACGATGCTCTGGAGGGTGTGGGATCAGGACCAAGGTCTGACGCAAGGGTGGACATGGAAGCAATGGAGATGCCAGCCAAAGCGGAGGGGTTGAGACGAAGCATGGCGACAGGGAGAGACTTGGCGTACTTGACAAGACGCTGCGACGAGCAGACATCGATGTCAACAGGGGTACGAGGAGGTGCGAGACGTGAAACAGCGGAGCGACCGAAGCCGGTCCAACCAGGCAACAAGGAGAGGTACGAGGGAGTCGAGGGTGGATCCGTAGTGTTGGCCAAACACTCGGGAGACGTTGCAGAGCGAGACGCTGGCTGCAAGGATGAGTCGGGAGGTGGTGGAGCACGAGCCGAGACGAGAGAGATGCCGTTAAGACCGAAGCCTAGACCGACCGAGGTGACAGGGAGCGAGTTCAAGGAGGTGTGGGTAGACGGACGAGGAAGACCGAAGCCTTTGCCGTGGACAGAGACAGGAGTTGAGCGAGTTAGGTTGCAACACGAGAGGGAGAGATTAGCATCCTCCCAATCGATCGCAGGGTTGTGGCGGCGAAGCCAGTCGAGGCCAAGGATGATGGGGTAGGCGACCGATACGACACCAAGGGAGAGAACCTCGGAATGGCGGTCGACCATTAGTTCAGTGATAACATCATGTGTGACGAGACCAGATGCGATCGGGCGGTCGTCCACTGCTGTGATGGGAACCGGCACGTCTTTGAGACGACGTGAAAGAGAGTGACGAGCGGCAAAAGTGTCAGAGATACAACAGGCAGAAGCACCTGAGTCAACAAGAGCAAATGTCTTGATGGGTTTTCGGTTAGGGAAACAAAGAGAGACAGAAATGAAGAAGTGATCAGGAGCGTTAGCATACGAAGCGCGAGAGGAAAAGACATAGAGCGGAGCGGAAACGAGACGGGTATCGGGTATATAACGTCCGTCCGTGGAGCGGACGTGGGTGGGCTCCGCGGCAGGAGTACGACGGGTCCCTACATCGACCGGAAGCCCAGGGACCTGAGACGGGCTACCGGTTAGGCTTTTCCCGAAGGAACAGCCTTGGCCCTGGCTTTCTTGGCCTTGTCGGACATGTTAGGGCAATCCTGGATCGTATGCTTGCCTTGTCCGCAGTAGAAACACAACCCGAGACGTCGCCGACATTCCTTTTCCTCGGCCGTGACAGGACCACGACGGACTGCATCGATCTCCATTGGCACTACAGTGCTTGACGAAGCTGCGGGAGCGGGAGTGGAGGCAACGCGAGGGGTAGCCTGCGCTAGCTCGGAATGGCGGTGGCCGGAAGGTTTTGACTTCAACTCACGAGTCTCGCGCTCGAGCTCGTGAAGGCGGTTGTCAGCCGTAATGACGGTCAGAATCCACTCGTCGAGTGTCGCGGGACGCTTCTCGTTGACGAGGATTTCCTTGAGGCGAGGCTTGAGGTTCCGATCGAAGTAGGTGATCTGCATGTAATCAGAGACATCTACGTATGTGAGATACTCTTCAAACAGGTTAGCGTAGGTAGCAGCCGAGCCGGTCTGCTTGAGGGCCTCGAGCTTGCGAAGGCTCGTGGACACAAGGTCAGAGTCCTGGAAGCGAGTAGTAAAAATACGCTGGAGCTCCTCCCAGTCATAGAGGAGCTCAGAACGCTTTGCCTCAATGGTATTGAACCACTGGATCGGTGAACCGTCCTTGAGGTACATCGAGAACAATGTGGTCTTTTGTTTCTCGGACGAAATGTTAGTAAGTTCAATGTAAGAACGCACCTCTCGGAGGAATGGTACGACCTCCGAGGACTTCCCGTTGAACATACGGGGATCGCGTACTTTGATGTTACGTGGTCCGGCAGATGTTGACGGCGCGGGTGTCGCAGACACACGCTGCCGCAACTCGTCAATGCTGCGGGCAAGCGACTCGAGCGCAGCGCTCTGCAGCTGCTGGTTGTTCGCAAACGCATCTTGGTGTCGTCCAAGTGCAGCGACAGCCTGGAAGAGAATGCGGTCAGCAGCGTCAGCGGGATTCACCCCGGCCTCGGGAGGAGCAGGTTGAGGGGGCTGTTGGATGCCCGCGTCTCCCCAGCTCCCATCGAAGCCTTGGTCGAGGCCTTGTTGAGCCATGTGGTGGGTGCTTCTTGTGGGAGAAAAATTGTCAACGGTGAGGAAGAGCACAGAGTGCTTAGCTGAAAAGGGAAACGAAGTGTCCAAGCGTCCAGTTGTGGTCGAATCAAACTGTAACGGGCACGTCGAGCGAAGCGCGTAGCGGAAAAGATCCGGACGTCGAACTGTCGAGGGCGAGCGAAGAGACAAGCGAGGATTCGCGAACAAAAGGGGCGCCGATACTGGCGTTGATTCGACGAGACTACACAGCGTACGCACAACAGGTTTATGGACGAGCCGGTAACTACATCGAGACCGTAGGGTACCTGTGCATATGGAGATAGTGATCTAAAACAGGGGGAGAGCGGGAGAGGGATATTACCGTAACAGGAACCAGCGCGGCGCGCGTGCACGCTCGCGATACAAACAGATCGCTATCTACGAATGGCCGTTGGTAAGTAATAGTCCGTTTTGTACTACAATGACCGTGTAGTGGTATTGACCACTACACTCATGGGCTCACCTTGGGGAGCGCGCGAGCGTAGTCTACACTCACCCGCGGCTCAGAGAGATAACTACATGCATTCACAAGATCATACAACGAGAATCCGATGCAATTGAGCGGAAGACACTGCCCGAGGCGGCAAGCTCAGTCATACGAAATGGGGGGACAGCTTTTGCCAATCCATCCCTACGCAGCATATCCCGATGTGATGCTAAGGAATGATCCTTGTGATTGTATTGCAGCCGAACACAAACACGCTACAGATAATTATGCATACAGACATTGGCGTGCCTCATTCCCTGACGTGACGCCTCAGGACTAGCGCCCGTTTGTGGACATGTGTGGACGTTTGACCGCCTTTGGTTTATCTTGTATGAAGCACGCGTGGATAGGGCATGCTCCTGCGCAGTAGGTCTGGCACGAGGCGGAGCACTTCTATATCATGGGGTAAGGTGTGCTCGCCCCTTGCCCACGTATCTCTCCTTCGACTCCCAGTATCCGACAACCGATACGACACTACGCTAACTCGATGTCCCGGTATAGGACCGTTCCGTGTAAATTCCTTGGTACTCCAGGTGGTTGCCGGTATGGCAACAACTGCACATTTCTACATCCACAGACGGCATCTCACGCTTCTACGAATCTCCCTACGGCCGATGTGCCTCTGCTCAGTCCACAGCCTGCGCCTTCCGCCCCAGGATTTCAGGCATCTGGCGTACCAATCGGTTCCTGCAATGCCTATTGGAAGTACGGGAACTGCCGTCATGGATTCAGTTGTCGTTACAAGCACGAGCGAGCGCCGATCCTTGACGAAGCCAGCGGATCAGCTTCCGCAGAGGAGCTTGTGCATCCCCCCACTCCTGCAGCGAGACTTGGTATGGGTGTAGGCGTCACTCTGCAAAACCGTACAGCACTTTCGCCGAGCGATGCCCACTATCATATTTACATAGTAAGCCCGGAACGCGTCCAGTGAATCGTAAGCCCGTAGATCTACAGGAATAAAATCACCCCCAAAAACTGGAATGAGATGTACAGCGCGTGCAACAGAATCTAAATGTATCACTTCTGATGGCCGCCGGCTGTCTTCATCCAGCTGTGGCTCTACTATCCACATCCCGGTATCCTTGTCAGGTTCGTCTCCAAGCGGCAAAAACCACTCGACTAGCGCACACGGATACAACGTACCAGAGTACCAGAATGAAAACAACAAGCGGATGCGTGCCGCATACATCCCACGAAAGCCGTCGAGGGTGGGGTCCTTATTGACGAGCACTGTGTCATAGCGTGGTGCACCGGATCGCCAAGATGGAGGGAGTCGCCCGGATGCACTCACGTTTCATGCCGCCTCATCCAGACAGATCACTGGGTGCGTAGAATGTTGCTACGGCTGAATGAAACACAGACATCCGGAGACGCGGGCTGCGGTATTGGCTGGCATCCTGCATTGGGGCCGTATTGTCATTGAGTTGTTGCAAAAGAAAACTTGCGACTAAGTTGACAAGTTCAGGGATTTGAAGCTGCTCGTCAAGTGCAGCAAGATGGCGGCAGTATCCTCTTGCTGTTATGGGTTTCAGTCCACCAGTTGACAAGCCATAAATATATGTACTCACCTGGGCGATGGGCTAGAGCTGTGAAGGCATCCACTGAAGGCCTGTCTTGTCGCGACTTAGGGTCAAGCGACTGGGGAAAACCAAACAAAGGATGCTGGGGGCATTCGACTGGGTCTTACCGAAGCGATGGTGAGCTAGGCTCAAACCTAAGGTTAGGGACAAGATAATATATTAGTTCAGTAAGAAGGGAATACAAAGGGTGTCGCGACTTAGGGTCAAGCGACTGGGGAAACACAGACAAGTGACGCTGGGGGTGTTCGGCTGGGTCTTACCGAAGCGATGGTGAGCTCACGCTCAAACCTAAGGCTAGGGACAAGATAATATATTAGTGAGGTAAGAAAAGGAATACAAAAGATGCTTACTGACCTAGGGACAAGAGGTCAAAACTGAGGTCCCTAGGGTAGCAGAGGCAGGCTTATATACAGGGGGAGATGAGGGCAGGCTGTGCGCACTGGTCCGTGCGTAGCTGGTCTGTGCACAGCATGCTGACGCGGCCCCAGGGGCCGGTGAGTCAGAGAGGCTGTGTCAGCGGAGCCCGAGCTGTGCCTGTCACGAGTTGGCACAGCGTCTAGCCATTTTGTAATTTTTTCCTTTTCGCGGGCTCAAACCCGCGACCTCTGTACTACATGCCTGATATGGACGCGTCGCTATCTACTGTACGATTAGATTAGATGGGCGGCAGTGCACGGCACAGCTCGGGCTCCGCTGACACAGCCACTGTGACTCACCGGCCCCTGGGGCCGCATTAGCATGCTGTGCATGGACCAGCTGCGCACGGACCAGTGCGCACAGCCTGCCCTCATCTCCCCCTGTATATAAGCCTGCCTCTGCTACCCTAGGGACCTCAGTTTTGACCTCTTGTCCCTAGGTCAGTAAGCCTCTCATGTATTCTCTTTCTTACTTAACTAACTAATACATTTCTTGTCCCTAGCCTTAGGTTTGAGCTTTGCTCACCATCGCTTCAGTGAGAACCAGTCGAACTATCACAAAACCTATAAACCCACCTTATAGCTTGATGGTAAGGGGGGGAGATAAAGCACTTAAGTGTGGGGGAGGTAATGCTGTTAAGCGCAACAACGAAGTGAATAGAACTGGGGGACAGGGTGCCCCAGGATGCTGCCTTATATACATGAGGGAAAACCCCCCAGGGACCGGTAATGGACCCCTGGTACCTAGCTTGGTAAGGATTACTAAGTATCATGTGTCCTATGATGTAATATATGATGTCATAGTCTGGCCCTGCCCTGCCCTGGGCCTAGGGTCCAGAATTGACCGGCCTATGGCCTAGTGCCTGAGCCTAGCTCCTACCTATGATGTCAGAATGATGTCATGGTCCAGACAGAGTCTGGTTTCTATCTAGAAAAGGTCCGGCATCAGAGTCCAGCCTGATGTGTCCAGAACAAGATCATGTGTCGCTTATTTAAGCGGATAACCCCTTAGATATGCAGCTGTACCCATATGCGGACGGATAAGTATGGATAAGTCCCTAGACCCTTCGATATGTCCGCAGAAATAGCGGAAAAATGAGGTAAAATTAGGGAAACTGTGACAGTACCCCCGCCTCTAGCTTTGAGCTCCGTTGAGAAGTTTCGACCATTTGACCAGTGAAGTGCCTTTATGCTTCGGTAATCTCGAGATCACAATCGGCTATGCGCTCAATAATGAGCTGAGCAATGGGGTCGCCTTTGGCGATCTTCAGCTCGGATGGTCCGGTGTTGGTAACAACAACCTTGACTTCGGCTGGGTCACCCCGCTCGATAATGCCTTCGATTGCTCGGATTCCTTTGGCTAACGGATTCCCTACTGGGGTGATTCTCCCGTAGGTGCCAACTGGTAGTTGTATCCGGATTCCTGTTGGAATTTGCAGTGTTGCATTACTGGCGACTCCCTGGTTTTGACTTGCATACAGTTCAAAGCCTGCTGCTGTATTGGTCTTTTTCTTGGGTTCCTGGCCTCCTCGTAGCTCAACTTGAAGTGTTGCATCCCTTTTCAGGAGAGCAAACACCTTGTCATCATTATCATCGAGCGACCTGATTGCGTGCGGGTGCGCATCGTGATATTCCTTGATGAGTTCCTTTGAGCCTTTGAGGTTCGCTACTGGTTCCCATGTATCCTCGTCGGGAGTGGTATTCTTCCATCGTACGAGGTACTGAAGCTTGCGGTAGTGTCGGCGAGAGGATAAGATCTTCTCCACTTCCCATTCTTC